ATAAACACGATTGAATTCGGTTCACGCTTCGGATTTCGAATTCTGTAGAAATTTCGGCAATCAAAGTATCAGAGAAATCAAATTATTCAGCACGATACAATAATTAAAAAGGTCAAATCATATCTTTATTATTTTTGTAAAATGAATATTGAAAAGGTAGGGACCCGGCTAATTAAATGATCAAGTAGCAGGATTTCAAGGGAGGAAAGGCATAAAAAACACCTGCTTGTTAAGCCTGCCGAGCCCTAACCCATATGATGACAGTTCCTTTCCCGCTACTCACTACCTAGGTTATTTGTTTTACTATCAATCCATAAACCAATTTGATCTAAAGTACTAATATAACCATTCTTCTTTTTAATATTTCTCTCATAAAACCCTTGTACCGTCGCCTTCTTAATATTTCCTCCCAATGAACGAATGTCCATAGCTACAGAAAGACACATCTCCTCCAAAGTATAATTATTTTCGGTCATGATCTGATCAAAAATTTGCTTAAATTGATCCCAGACGGCCAAACTGATACCCGTGAACGTTAATTGTCCCGAGCTTGCAGAGGAATGATTTGAAGCTTGACCTACGGACTAGAAATACGTTTTAATATTAGATATTTTTTTGTTGATGATGAACTTCACTAAGAATAAACATTTCGGACATAATGTTCATAAAAATACCGACTTATTTTTAAACTTCGTGGGTTGGGTCAATGCGATTACCAGTAAAGCGATCCACGATTTATCGGCATTACATAATCTCTCGCTAATTAACGTTCATTCTTAATCTTTGGAATGATTTGCATGACTATCTTCGATTACACAAGAATACATGCTATTAGTAATAAAGAAATGCTAATACCTGATTACATTTACTGTCAAGTTAAAAAATCGTTCTCGCATCTTCTCCACTTTACATGAAATAAATGATGATCGAAACATAGCCCTATAAAAGATGCAATTTTTCTACTGTCTTCCCTATGCAAATCCAACGTGGCATTTAACAAACTCATCGAACTTGGTTTCACTTATCCTAAATCTGAATATCCGCACGTCCCCGCGATTGATTTTTTAATCGGGAATTCTTTGCATAAATTGGTCCATTAATCGTTTTGGAGAATATGCCTTTTATGGCTTTAACGGCTACTTTATTTTTCGTTATTGCGAAGATGACCCCCGAAAATATCCATTTGTGTATAGGATTCACCACCGTATGGTTCTTCCTGTGGGACGTAAAGCAAAAAAATGCCGATGAAACAAACTCTCGTGAAACCAAGATCAACACTACTATCGCTGAACAAATCGGCAAAATCAGAACCGAGATTAATAACGATCTTAACACAAAAATAAATTCCCGTGATGCTAATTATGCAACGGAGGCAAAATATCATTAACATGATAAATGGGAAATATGACGAAATCGAGCGAGTTCTAGAAACCTACTATAATAATTTTAGTCAAATTGCAACTGATTTCGAGTCGGTCGGCAGGGATGTCACAACGCTCCAGAGCGAAATCAATCAACGACACTCCCTTGTCTAGATTGTTAATAGGATAGGATCTGACCAGCAAAGAGAGACTTCATCAAATTTCTCGGATTCAAGCCAAAGATTTACGAATATCATTTCTGTAATTCGGGAACAATTTTCGACCATCTTTGATAGGGTTGGGATTATTCTTTAGATCACATGTGTGCTATTGTATCGGTTTATACTCTTAAACTTTGGATGGGATCAATTGGAAAAGATACAATAGAAAAAACTTAGAAAAGATAGGTGCATTGATAGATAACATTCATTTACATCTTTGAGTAGCAGGGAAGGAACTGCCATTATATGGGTTAGGGCTCGGCAGGCTTAACAAACAGGTGTTTTTTATGCCTTTCCTCCCTTGAAACATCCTGCTACTCTTATTGTTTTTTATTGGTCGGCCGGCCCTTTCTCATATATCATTTTTTCGAAAAAATTGATCTGTTTCTCAAAGAAATAAAGATACCATTTGACCTTTTTATTCGCGTGTAAAAGTATTATAATGGCATTTTACAGCTAATCATACATACCCGGATTAATGTCCATGCATGTGTCACTACCAAATTTGATAAATTAACACATGGCATGTTCTTTGTGGCACATGAGGCAGTATACGCGTCGCGTTATTTAGGGGGAAACTAGGGTTCTCGTTTTTTTATGATTCTTGTATTTTTTCTTACACCTTAACAAAGCCTTCAATATGTCTTCTGGAAACATTACATCATATTTGAATCAAAGCAGAAATAAATCTTTTTGGGGCTTTTTGTGTCGTTATCGAGACGCGATTGTTGCCACCACTTCAACTACTTCCACCTGGCAGAGCCTTGAAAAGTCCTGGTCTGATTGTTTTTTAACAGAATCAGAAAAGTTATTAAATCCAAATGACTTTAATAATTTGGAAAAACAGGTGTGTTTTTTTTTATTTTGCAAAGGGTGAATAACTCCTAGTGAATCGTGATTGCGGTCGCGGTTTAACTCAGGAGAACTACTGGGTATGACCACTTGGGTAACCAGCCCCAAGTCCTCTACTCAGGCATCCTAACTTTGTCGTTGGTAAAGGTCTACTGATTCCGGAGGAGGAATCGGTTATGTGTCTTCCTTTGGACATCCCTTTTATTATCTGTTTCCTCTATATTATAGTGTATTCTCCCTGCCACTAAATAAAAAATTACACACTGTTAACAAATGCTTTCTTCACTATAGGTCGAATCAGAACGGGTACGCCGTACGGAAAAGTTTAAGAATTATTGGATTGAAGTAGTCAATGAACGTAAAATAGTAAGTAAACCACTTATTTTTGCATTTATATATTAGCTTCAACATTATTTTTAATTATTCTTCTGGAATTAGAGACGAGAAATTTCTGAGTATAAAGTAGAAAAAGACCGTATTCTTCACGAGATAAAAATAAGAGAAGATGAACTTGCTAGAATTTTAAACAAACAGAAAGTTAATGGTTATAATAGTGATGGCGATGATGAAAACGATAATGACAGCAACAAGAATGGCGATAATAACAATAATGAAAATAATAACGATAATGGCAATAATAATCATTCCTTATCAGAAAAACCATTGTCACTATCAACATCATCATCGCCAACATCTCCATCATCTATACTTGATGATTACGATCATAACAATCATCACGAAGATGTCAACCAACATGAACTTGACTATGGGCATAGCTACAACGACAATGAAATAAATTCTTCTGCTACTGATGCGGGTGGTTCTTCTGGGGGTAGTTCTTTGGGTACTTTAGGTGGTTCTGAGAAACCCAAAGTTCGAAAAGTTACAAGAAAAATGAAGGGTGCGATACCATCCCGAATAAGAGAGAATGATCTTCGGAATATAGAACGTACACGTTATAATTATGGAGCCCCTTCGAGGAAGCGTAAAAATAAATCCGTAAGTACAAATTAAATATTAAATATTAGTAAAGGATTGCAATATATAACTATTTACTTATATTTATAGGTGTCACAAACACTATCACACTCACCTTCACGACCACCACTATTAATGTCACCTTCTTCACAGCAACTACAATCACTGCCACCTTCTCCACAGATACTACCATCACTGTCACCTCCTCCACGATCATATATTATAGGTTCCTCCGATGAAGAGGTATGCTCTACTGTATAGTTATAAATCAAGTAAAATATTAACCGTGCTTTATTTACTATATAGGAGGAACCACCAAGAAAAAAGAAATGTTTGAATTGTCCTCAACATTGCCCAGGACAAGAAACTACTTAATCCAAATGAAATTGGAATCGAAATAACGAAGGCATAAAACTGACTCGTGCTAAATACAGTATCGAAATCATCTGATTATGTGGGTCGATTCAATATTATATTTTTTCGTGATCACATTACTAATCTCGTTCATCACGTTCCTATAATACGTATGTAAAATTGTGTAATGTATTGCTAAAAAATCGCTATTTACAATCGCTACTCTTTACAGATTTATCATGTGCCAGACGTAGAGGATCCACTACCCGATGGGATATAATTCGATACTTATATAGTGAAAATAATTATATAGATTTAGTGGTTTTAAAATCGGATAATCCACGGGCTTTTGTTAACATGTTCCATGAACCTCTATGCCGATCTCTTATTTGCGGATTTAAAACACATGACATCATTTCCCTGAGGCCCATTATAACGTAATGTGATTGGTTAATAATTTTCCTACAGTTAACAGTCTTTTAATTATTCTGATTGGATGGATCACACCGGGAAATTAGCAGTGTTATCTCTCCTCTACTAGTAATAAACCAAGGAATTTTTTTTCTACTCAAACTACATTCTCGAACTGTGTAATCTTGGCCATGTCCTTTCTCAACAAACGAAAAGAAAAAGCTGTTACGTCAGAAAAAACGCCAGCTAAGAAGACGAAGTTGTCGCGTACTGCTCGTTACAATAAAAAACGTAAGCTTCGTAAGGAACAAAAATCAATATTATCGATAGAGCAAAACAAACACATGTTCATACTACCGTCGAGTCAGAGATTTTGCGCGCCGTGCGTCACTTTTGATCCAAGTCGGGTACATTTTTATTTCTTGATAAATACTTAGCACAGACCGTTTCATTAGTTGCTTTTTCGTGTCTTTGCAATAGCAAATGATTTGTCAACCATCCAAGTATTGTGTCGGGTATACTTAGTACGTCGTGTGTTCGAAAGGGCATGATCACCTTATTGGTGGCTCGATACTTTGTCTTGGTGATTAGCAATCCGCAAAAAAGCAATTAACAGCACGCTTTGCCGTTAGATTTATAAAAAATATATTATTAGCACCGGACTCAGCACATAACTTGGGGATTGTGTACGAGCGACAAGATATTGTATATCGAGAAAGAATGGAGAAGTGTTCCGCTCTGTTTGTCGGATCGCATAGCGTCAAGGTGTATCAAAATTGTCGAAGAAATTTCTACGAGGGATCTATTAACCGAAACGTTAATTCGAGAGGCTAGGTTAACGAGTGGTGTTGAGGTATCAAACGTTCCTACGAAATTTTTTAAGTTAGTTGACGAAGATATAATCAAAATCGGAAAACATCACGCCAGCTTATCTTACGATAGTAAAGAAAAGAATAAGAGTTTGTGGATCGATTTTGGTCGGTGGTTGGGGATGAAAGAGCCTATTACGAGAAGAGATGTGCGCCGTCACCTTCGATCGAGTTGGATAAAATTGTAACCAATAGATTTTCAGAACAACAAACAACAGGAAGCGTCTAATGTCATCGCTCAAATTTCTCGAAATGAAAAGACCAGAATGATAATGTTCGCACGTGGGGATCTTCTCGTGCTCAGTAAAAAGGTACATTTTCGTAATATCGTGGATCCGGGATGCGTTACCGACGTCGAGGGTAGAACTTTAATTCACCTGGGAGTATTGAATAATTCGAATGCCGTATCAAACGCTACTGAAGCTGTCAACCACTATTATTTTCATACCTTAAATAATCCTTCCCACCGTAGTGAGGAATTTTGAACCAATTTTATCGAACATTTCGGTGTATACGCGCGAAATAACCTCTTACCTTACACAAGTTCCAACACCGCAAGTGCCCACAACGTCGATCATCAAGAATGTGTCGATACGTTACTTCGTGATTTGGAACCGTTGTCAACCTCTATTAATGAGTTCGTTCGAGAAAATTATGGGGGGTTATATGGGAAGTTAGAAAAGTTATTGTGGGGGGTATTTGGACCGAAGCCATTTGGGGTCTTCCCAATGATCGCGATTAATTTCAATACAATAAGCGATTATCACTGGGACGAACACGACGAACCAAATTCTTTGTGTTGTCTGGTGGCATTGGGTGATTTTGAGGGGGGTGAACTATGCTTCCCCCAACTCCAGATTATCGTTCCACTTCGTCCCGGACAAATCGTTGCTTTCTCCTCACGTCTCCTCCTCCATGGGAATTTTCCAGTAACTCGAGGGATCAGGCATAGTATCGTTTATTTCGTTCATAGTACGTTCTTCCACCATTTGCGTAATTTTACCGAGATTTACAAAGATCGAGAGGATGGAATTGAGCGAGATGCACGTGGGACGCTTGTTTCTATGATTCCTCAGCAAGATCTCAACAAAGCACGAGATCTGAATAACCGAATCTCATTCTCCCAACCAAAAAAAAGTCAAACCACGATACCAGAAAGATCTTGTGATAAGAAGCGAGGGAATATTGGTAGGTAATTCATATTTATTGTTAATCCATGTGAATCCAATGATACTAATATTTTATTCCTTATATAGATTTGTCGCGCGCCCGACGAGGATTGAAGGCAGAGGATCCAATACCCGACGAATCATAGATCGATGGTGGATTTGATGTGAAAAGCAGCTGGTTGGGTAAATAAAAAATAGATTAGATAAATAGCTACGAATTTAAGCGTGTAGGGGCAAAGCTCCATTGCAAAGCAATAAAAAATAATAAAGAAATCTAATAAATATTATTTTGATGTGGTAAATTGTATTGATGAAGAATTTAGTTATTGTAAATTAATCGCGTAAAAAATAGAGGCAAAGCCCCTTTACTTTGTTCTACGAACTTCTACGTCGATCTCTGATTTGCGGATTTAAAACGTGATATGATTTTCGTCGCTTATTTTTACTTGAGACTAATATAAACTTGCTATTTCCTACAATCTGTTTCCTGATAAGAAAAACTTGTAATGAATTAAAAAGAGCCATAAGAGGGAAGGGCTTATCGGTCTTTATTAGTAGCTTTATCAAAATTCATATGTCACAATGACTTGGCATTTCCCAGATCATCGCGATTATTGACTTTTTTACTTCGTAAGAGAGATCGTTGAAATTAAGGGGTATTTTACTGGAGGGGGTTACAAGTAAAACCTAACTCACATTAAGTGGTTAACCTAAAAAATGATGAAAATATATTTGGTTTTGGGATAGATCTAATGGTTCTGGACAATATAAAATACAAGGTTTTTTTCGCTCCCGTAAGATAGGTTTCAATAACGTTTTTTACCACTAATCCCAATAATGTACCTTATTTCAATATATCACTATTTAATTAATAATATAAAACGTATTCACATTTACTGTTTTTTATATAGGGAAGGAAAAAAAATCGACCACAAGACTAACAAATCCAATACTTCCAAGAGCAAGACTAATGTTTCTAGTAACTTCAAGATTGATAAAAAAACAAGTAAAACTTCCGAAGGTCTAGAAGAAAAGCCAGAAAAGGCATCGGGTGTGGCTTTGATTATTGATTATCCACTTCTATGGAACTATACTGGCATTAACCCAATAACTTTAGCAAAAGTGGAGAGAACTTATGGCTTTAGTGGTCATTGACTTATCAATATTTTTATAATATAACTGCTGTTTGGCAATTTTTTCATATATCTTTGACATTGGGCTCTGCCCATTAATAAAGAAGGGGACATGAACTTCCAATTTTCTTCATTTTAAAATATTGTATTCTCTCAAAATTATTTAAACTGATTTTTTTATTGTATTATATGTAGGTCTGATTCTTCTCCCTATATTTTCTAATATATGTGGAAGAGATATTTTATATATTCAAATTTATTTTCTCCAAAATTATATGAGTCTAATGGGTTTCCATAATTATATTCTTCAATATTGATCAATATCGCATTTCTAATTCTTTTACTGAAGATCATGTTTTTATTTAATAAATATCTTTCTACTTTTACAAGCTCATCAAATGTTATTAATGCATTGTTATATATAGGCTCAATTTCATTGTCATTTATATTCGATTTTCTATGGCATCTGTCTAGCTTTTCCAATAAATCATAGTATTTTGTATTAAAGTTTTTACGCCTCTTATAAAGTTCACGACAAATTTCTTTATACCATGTGTGGTTAATTTGAATACAGTTATCTAGATCCTCTAATAGAAGTTTTGAGACAATTTCAACAATAGTATCTAAAAGTGTAAGTGGATTATATGTATGCATGTTGTATTTTCTCAAATATAAACAATTTATTAACTAAAACTTTTTATTTAATAGATAATCAATGAAGCTAACCAAAAAAAAATATATATGGCAAATGGATAGGTCGACTTGCTTTTCCTACATTTGATAAATAAAAAATCTCAGAATAAATTAATAGAATTGTCACATCATTTATTGGAGAGTCAAAGACTTGATGCTCGGCATTATTATAATCTTCTAGTTCGGAAAAAAGATAGATAAGATAAAATTATCAACAGAGCTGGCATGGCCAAAAGCACTTAATGTATCAATGGTTTAGTTATGTGTAAGTACATGGGTAATTGGTATGTGTAGCTAACATTGAATCTATTTCTGCAATCTGAGACCCGAAAGGATTATAATTATTATTCTTAGGCTGAGATATCGAAGCTTGAGCCTTGAGATCAGAAAGTTTTAACTCTAAAGAATCATCAGACTCAGATTCAGAATCAGAAATATCACCCTCAGCATAATTTTTTCCTGCATCAAAACGGTTTATCTTATGTCTCAATGCAATTCTGGTAAGAAAATCGTGATGTTGTGGAGTTGAATTTTGCCCACCATGAACTCTAGAAGCGTGTTTACCTCTAATTTTTCTTAATCTTTTGGCCATAATACCATAAGGTCTTAGAAAATTATTAAATAATTTAATACTACATTTCCCATTAACACTATAAACAGGATCACGCAACTTTCCAATTGTTATCGCATTTTGAATCCAGGTAAGCAATTCTCTCACATGTTCTGGGTTCTTTTCCATAGAAAGAAATTGCCGAGGTTCAGGCTTAGGTTTAGGAGTATCATTTTCTTCATTCTTCGGTTTTTTTTTCAGTTTATTTTTAATATACCCAGTACAATACCAAGAATAACCAGACTTATACCATATTGAAGGGTTTGATTCATTAGATTCATAATGGATAATTTGAAGAGTAGTCACTTCAGCAGGTCTTATGCTCAACATCATGATCACATTTGCGAGATCTTATATAGTAGGAATTTTAGTAGTATCGATATTTTGAATTCTTCTAAGTCCCTTCTCTAAGAAAAAGTGTTTGGGAGTTTTAGGTGAATTGGGTAATCGTTGTTCGAGTTTTTTCTTCTGGATTTTGTTAGAAGCTTCAGTAACATCTGATAATTTGACATATGTATCAATTTCTTTGGGATCAACTCCAGCTTTTGCTAACTCTTTACAAAATTGCGAAAGACGGGAACTGGATATCACAATCTCCTCATCAGTATTATTTTTTGTCTCAGCTAAATCTAAAGCATGCAAGTAAATATCCCAGACATCTTCAGTTTTTACACAATGTTGAGCTCTTTCTTTGATAGTAAGCTTTTTCCCCCTTTTGTCTGGTACAAGAGCTTCTATTTGATTCCCTTTGAATAGGTGTTAACGAAGAGCCTCTTTTACATCTTTACGAGCTTTCCAATCTGGTAGCATAGTACCAAGCTCATTGGTGTAAGCACATAATTGGAATGGGTCAGATTCTACAGATAGGTTATATTTTTTCATAATCTGATCCAAAATAGAAATAAAGCTATTAGTTTTGGGGTTTCGGGTTTTTCGTGCAGTTGCCATGATAGGTATGTAAATAATATATATATTAATAAATAGATTGTGATTATACATTATCCTACTTATTTTTTCAAATCGAAATTAATTATCCCGAATCGATATATCTATATCCAAAAATTAAATAGGTCGTGGTTAGAATAATTCTATCAGAAAATTGTCACAAGTAAGATACAAGATCGATCAAAAGTCTTGGAATTAGTAGCTTTACGTAATAAAATTACTAAAAATATTAATGAGATCAAAGAGGATATAGTATTACTTAAAGAGGTTTTGGAAAAAATAATCAATATATACCAAGCACATAATACACATCTGTTGATTTGAAATTAAATAATACATAGAATATAATAAAAAAATTTGCTTCACATTTGCATAGTGCATATAGTTTTGGAGTTGCGATCCAGGCTATATTAAGGTTTACAATTTATTTTTTTATAATGCTTGGGCTAAATTCTGGTATGTTTCAACAATTACAATATATTTGAGATATACAGTATATCAGGTTTATTTTGTAATATTTTTATTGGAAAATTTTATATTAACTAGTTTGTAGAGACAAAAAAGCCTCTCCTTTGAATGTTTCTACCTATAAAACCTACCTTATTCGCTCCTTATTGATTAAACAGTTATTATAACATACCATTTTCCTGGAGTATGTTAATAGTTTTTTTCCATTCCTCATCGGTATTGAGCCATGATGAAGTGATTCCATCTTTCTCATGAGAACGGCGGATTATTTCTTCACTTATTAATCTTTCTTGTACTGACATATCCATATATTCACTGGGGTCTTCTTCGACCTCCTTTGCATAACCACACATTCTTGCATCAGTCTGTATTCTATCACAGAATGCTATAGAATCGAGCTTATTCTTTTTCAGTAATAGTAACGAATTTGTCAGGATCTTTACCAAGTTCGATGGCTTTTTGCCTTAATTGTATTTCTTGTTGCTTCCTGGTTTGATATCCGGGTGGGTATGATATCTAAGTGGGAATTGAATCAGAGATTTGAGACTTTGTCTCTTTTTTGTTGCTGGTTTTTGGTTTATTATTTATAGATAAGTTAGAAGAAATATTGGACTCATTTTTCGCAGATTCAATAATTTCAGGAGATGTTTCAATTTTATTATCTATAACTTCTACACCCACGATCTCAGGAGGCAGAGATATATTGGTAGACTTGAATGATGAAACAACTGAACTTCTGGTTGATCTATTATTAAATCGAAGAGTTCCTGGGTCATGTTAGTAACTGGTGGAGTAGATGTTTTCTTACCTTTTTCGATGCAATCTGTAGCCAATAGAATGGGATCTACTTTTTCTGGTTCGGGAGATAGAATTTCTGGGGCATTAAATATAGTGATATCTATGGATGTGTTGGTGGATATCTCGGCTTCAGCGAGTCTGAAAATTCTTCAATATCACTTATCGATTCTTGTAACTTGGCCACGATCTTGGAATGATCAAGAATATAGACCCATTTTCTTTTTCCATTGATTCGTATCAGCTTTTTCTCAATTCCTATCGGTAGAAGAAAGCCTTCAAATTTATTGTTAGTGATTCGATCCTTGCCTTTGCTTCTACACCAAGTAAGATATTCTTGATATAAATTTCTAGAGATTGGTTTTTCTATTTGATTTTTAGATCATGACTTAATATGTTGTATTATAAAGCAGGTGGGATTTGAAAGTTGTTTCATTATTGTATCTGTTTTTATTTTAGTGATAAGGAAATTCTGCAGACTCCACTTTGACAGATCATGGCTATGAAGATATGACATGACTACTTCTGGTGCATCAAGATAATCAAGAATTTCTTCTAGTCTATCGAAATATGCAATATTACTCCTACAACATGCAAATACGTCAAAACAAACTATGCAAGCATCACCTGCTTCTATTTTTAGTGAAGTATCCTGATTACTTGTGACCATAAATCCACTAAAATCATTTATTCTTAAAGTTTCGAGACCTTTGTGCTCTATACTTACCTTTCCCTCTGTTATAAGGGATTTAAGATAACCATTAAACCTATGCCACTTCCCACTAGACATACTGGTTTCATTCATGACTATAAGCTTTTTACCTTGAATAACACTGTTAAATTTCCCAAGAATTTTTCCTAAATCAGATGTTGTGTAATAGAGATTTGGACCTAATACCTTATCACCAATAAAATCAGTAATAATATTTTTTCCACACTGTTGTAAAGTGGATTTTAATACAAGAATTGATCTTGGTTTCTTTCCCGGTTTTTATACTAAATATGCCCACCAGTTCCAGATATAATTATTGAGTTCCTCATTTTTATTACAAATTACATTTTTTACATGCCAAAGGATAGAATCCATAATTTCTAGATTAATATCTTTTGCTGGTTTAGCTAAAGATTAAAGAAATTTGTTTTCGGTAGAATTACATTTGGAGGATATGGAAGAAAATCAATTTCATCATAATGTATTAAATTTTTTGTAACTGCTCTATCTATCAGAGAATGTAATTTTACCGCTTCTTCTCCATGCTCAATTATATTAATTGTATGCTTTGCAAGATCTAATTCGTGACCCATATCAAAATAAAGACCATCGGAATTTTTAAGTTTAACTATCCAGATTGTTTTTCTCTATTCAACACATGCTATTGTTGCCTGAATTGCACTATATGTCTCATAACATGTAAATTTTTTCTTAGATATACACATACGAAGTAGGTCTCCCCATATGAAATTGTCATTTGGATCTGAAATTCTAGACCAGTCTAACTTCTCTGGGATTGGAAGGTTGTTTTCCTGATCCAAAATTGTTTCATCAATAACAAGCTTTAAAGAAGAATTTCTTGTACCAGGTTTCTTATTTTGATTTGCATGATAACAGTAGAAACTATATGATTTTTTATTCTGGATAATATACACATTCTCACTATCGTGTGGATCTTTATTACTATATTCTCGTTCACATAATGGACAATGTGATGAGGTTATTTGTTTGAGAGAGAATGTATCGGAAAATTTATCTGTTGGAAGTAATAATTCATATCCTTCAATATTAGCATCTTTGAGTAATATTTCTAGCAATTCAAGTTCAACTTTAATAATATCAGTGGCTTTATTTTGGGAGTTATATATTCTTGTTGATACAGGTTCTGGAACAACTAAAAGAGGACTGTCTACTTCAGAAGATTCATTATTAGGAGAACGAAGCATAAAATCAAAGACAGAACTATCCTTTGGATAAGATGCTTTCTTTATTCGCACATGCTCATTAGTTCCTTTAACGATTTTGGATATATTAAGTATTCGTAAGAAAAATGGTCTTTTATTTGCGATATTATTAACAATATCTTTGCTTTGTAAACTAACTGGAGGTTTTTTGCGAACAAGCTCAGTAAATATTGCTACTTTGGCAATGTTTTTGAGACGAAAACCAAAAGTTGAGATATAGAGCAACATTTTTTTCTTATCACTACTGCTAGCAATTGTTAAAGTATGGGAATCCCATTCTGGGTATATTTCTCTACAAGTTCTTGAAAAAGCATGACAAAGTAAATCCTGTATCTTTTTACCTGTAAGCTTGGGTTCGATTTTATCGAATTTTTCTCTGAGCAAATCAAAATCTATAATAGGACAAAGTGGGTCATCTCTATCAATAAATTCATGTAATGAATGTCCTTGCCGTTCACTAAGTATAGCTTCTATCTCATCCTCAGTATCTGTCCCAAAAAATTGTCTTGGTCTTACACTATCATCGCGGATTTTATATAAATATTCCACAACACTTTCAGCTTTAAACCCCTGGTGATAGAACATCCCATTATTTTCTTCCTCTATATCTATCTTCAGCTCGAAATTTTGGTTATCCACAGTTGGCACATCTGATGATGCAGGTACAATGGGTGTATTATGTTTGGGTTTGGTACTCATCGTAACTTATATTGTTTTGAAACTATAATAGTGGTTAGAGAAAAGTTCAAATAAAAATTAATTATCTTAGGTGATTAGCATTAAACAATATAATATATATTCTACTTAAAAAACGTATTAGTAAAACTTTAGATATGGGATTGGGAAAGAAAATAGTGGAATTTTACTGTTGTCCTTATATCCTTAGAAATGGGAAGGTATGTAATCAGGGTTGCTATCGACCTGAGGGATGTATAGTTTATTGGGATTCGCCTATAAAAGTTCCTTGTAAAGAACCTGGCTGTACTAAATTAACTCGTTCCGATTATGGTGCATGTAGAACTCATGCTGGTAAGTATCGATCTCAAAATCATTATCAGCAGAAGAAGCTGGAGAAGATGACACAAAAATCAAAAGTGCTTGGAAAAAATGTATAGTAAGTGAGTATATAGACATAGTCCAAACAAGTGTCACAAGTTATCACAAGTTGTCACGAGTTAGTCTCAAGTAAAAAAATCGATAGAAAGGTGGGTTCTTGAGAGTTTGAGTCCGAAAAAAACCATTCTCGATAGTTGTCACAGCTGTTACAAGTTTCTTGGGTTAATTTGTCGAGTTTCACCTTTTTTGTTTTTTTTTTTCTATGTGTATACCATATGTATATATCAAAGGTAGGTATATATATCAGGTATATGTATACATATCAGGTAGGTATCAAGTATATATCGAGGTAGATATATGCGCATATAACATAGATAGGTATCGGGTATAGATATAGTGCATATAATATAGGTAGGTACCTCGTATATATCGGGTAGGTATACTATAGGAAAGAATTTTTTTTTCCCTTAGAATTCTACCATTTTACTTAAGTAACTTGTGACAGATATAAAGAAGTAATCAAGAAAGAAACGAAAAGATTTAAAACTCTCAAAAAGCTGTTACAAGTTCTGTTACAAGTACTTGCAAACAACTAGTAACATCTAGTAACAAAAATTTGGCAATCGAAATTGGTATATATTTAGCATACTCGATAGCAATTACGCAACACATGTTTGATAGCAACCCGATAGCATATCCAACAACATGTATATAGCATACTTGATAACATGTGTATAGCGTGTCCAGATATTATTTACTCAATAGCAATTACATGACATAGGTCATATACACTTGATAGCATATACCCGATAACATGTATATAGCATACTCAATAGCATATATATAGCGTACCCAGATAGCACATACTCAATAGCATATTTGATAACATACTTGATAGCATTTTTTTTATCTCTTCGAATGACATATAAACTCTAATCGACTCATCAAACTTGCAATAAGGCCAATTCGGTATTCGATAGCTTGCATATGACCTAGACAACAGAAATCTGACACCATTGTGTCATAAAAATTGAATCATGACACCTTAATCTGTGTTATAAAAATTGGATCACGATATATATGACACTAACGATGGTGTCATATTTCTGTCGTCATAACACATAACTGATAGGGAATAACCTGGGGATCCCACTTAATATCCATAATCTACCTCAGGAAGCATCTTAATTTTAAAATCAACTGCAATTGCCAAATTGATATACATTATATCATATGCAATATAATGATAGAAATTGATCAGGCCACTGTTCTGATATATGTCGGTTCAAGTGTGGCCTGACGATAAAAGTTAGCCATCAATATTATGTGGCCAAAATTATGAGATCGACCATACACTAATATGGCCAAAATTATGAGATCGACCACTTTCAAATATAACCTGATGACAAAAGTTAGCCACCAACATCATGTGGCCTAATGACGGAAATCAATCACAATTGTCAAAATAAATAATCACAAATAAATAGAGAACAATCTAATAATAAGTAGGAAACAATCTAATCATAAGTAAAGAACAATCTTATCATAAGTAGGAAACAATCTAATATAACTAGGGAACAGTATAAATATACTGTTCCCTAGTACAATCTTTATTTAGTTTAAAAATTTTTTAACTAGGATTAGTTATTTGCTTTCTGTTTTAAGTAAAGTAATATTATTACTATCCATTATAATTACATAAAGTTTAATTACAAAATATTCAATCCTATACAAATAAAAAATTGGATATTATATTATAAATAAAGTTTGTAAGAAAAAGTAAAAAATACAGATTTTTGTTTTCATTTATAATTATATGTTTTTCCATATTAACATTATTATTATATTGTGTTAACCTGTATCTTCTAACTGTATAAAAAATGTTACATGATTTTTTATTATTAAGGAGCTAACCAAATTTCAATAATACTTTCAATTTGTTATTCAAAATAACTTGTTTAAGGATAATAGAGCTATTTTTAATTTTACAACTTTTTTATCAACAAGAACTATATATTTAAAGTGAATATAATATAGTATTGTTTATTAATATATTTATAAATTTTATAAAAAAAAATTTTTTAAAAATATATAGTAAGCAAAAAAAAGTTTTTTTTTTAGTAAATCTGAAAAAAATTAATTTTCAAATTATAACTATTTAATAATATTATATATCTAATAATTAAATAACTGATGCTTATTAGTTCTATATGTTACTTTCAAATTCTAAGCAAAATTTAATCTCTATTTAGTATTCTTTATAATTTATTAATTATTTATTATATTTTATACTGAACTTGTAAATAAGAAAATATATATTTGGTTAAAATTCTTTTTAACTAGATCTTAAACCAGGTTAACAAGATTATAACTAAAATTATTAGATGTGAAAACTTATATCATATACAATATATAGTTGATATTATACATGTAATATAAATTATTTAATATTAATTCAATTCCCAAAATCCTCAAAAATAATTATATCATGATTCAATTATTTATATATTTTAATAGTGACTCAATTAATTGCATCAAAGATTTACAAAATTCAGCAACATATATAGTTGATACTACTCAAGAAATATAATAATAAAAAATAAAAAATTTATATTATAGCTAGAATTTTAAACTAATATTAAAATATTAATAATTTATAATAAATTTAATATATGGGTTGTGATCTATTATATTAAACTTATAATATATAGTATTTAATATTAATTTAATATTGAAATAATACTATTAAGAATTTTAATTATATTTTTAAATAATATTTAATTTATTAAAAAATATAATTATATAAAGATATTATAGTCAATTTATATAAGTTTGCTTCCAAATTATAATTTTTTTTTTTTTATAAATAAACATTATTTTTTTTATTTTGTTTGTATATAACAAGATATACTGTATATTATAAAAGAAACAATATTTCTTATATATTGATATAATAAGTTAAATGCTAACTTGCCTATAGTAACTATATAACTAATATTGAAAAAAAATTTTAAAACAATATATCTTGCCATATGGTACTGAGCGGCTATAAATACTTACTTGATATTAAAGAAAATAGTATTTGCTTTCAAATTATAATTAAAAAATATAACTTAATATTGTTAAACCTAAAAGTTTAACTTTTCCAAAATAGAAATTTTTATACTAAATTTAGATTAAACATATTAATTTGTTAATAATATTTCTATAGTATTTTTATCTGCTAAGCAACTTTACTTAAAATATAAAAAAATGTTTTGATTATCAGTTTTGAGATAATCAAGGATTTTGTTAAATGTTCTCATTTATTTAATAATATTTGAACACAAAAATTAGAGATATATGCTATAATAATTAATTATTTGTTATTTCTATAGTTTTTTTTTTATATTTCAAATTAGGCTGCAAGCTATTTAGTTTATTAATTCTATTTGCCAAAAAACAATTACATATTTGTATTAAAAATATTATGATAAAGATAAATTATTGTATTGCTATACAGCATACCTGTTATAAATTTAAAATCTTTAGATGTGATAATGGAAAATAAAAATATTGCTCAATTTTATTCTAATACTTTCATCAATCTAAAACATCACAGCTAGCTCTCATTCAGAATTGTTATTCCTATATTATTATCATGGTCCTATGGAAATAAAAAATTAAAAATAAAAAGAAAAAAAAAAAAGTTTGCACTAATAAAACAAAAACTCTTCTTGACTATTATTTAATCTGACCATCTGCAGCTAAAAAACTATTTAATTTTCACTATTTTATTGTTGATCAAGAATATTTAAAGATCTTTTAGAAGAATATTTCTTGAAACTTTATGTTTAAAGACTTCTAATCTTTAAAGAAAGTTGATATTTTAATTGACAATTTTTCTTCCAATCAATTTTCCAAGAATTTATGGCTTTATTCAACCAGTGGATAGTTTTAAGACTTCTTTTTTCAACTATTTTTGGATAATTAACAGTAGAGCTTATTATTGAATTAAAATAAAATCTTTTTTTAATCTTAAAGAGAAACAAAATCAGTTCAAAAAAAAAGAGAGAAAGTATCAAATTATTCTTTTGCCAAAAAGTTATGGTTTTGAAAATTATAATTAAATAAACTTGCATAGACTTACATAAAGTTCAGAATACTATTAAAAATTATGGTAAGTTATAATCCATATAATAAATTGGATATAAATCTAAAAATTGAAAATTAAATTAAATTGATCTTTAGTTAATAGTTTATACCTATAATGTATATGTAATTAAGTTTTTAATCTTTTTTTGCTAATTTGTCTGTATACTTATTATATTTGTCTCCTGTATATGCTTTAACTTTTTTAAGTTTAGTAGCTGCTATTCTATTTTTTATCTTTTTCCAAATGAGAGTTGTTATAAATATATTTGTTTCTTTTGTTAATCTTTGTTTTTATAGAGTTCTTGATTATATTATATAAATCATACTTTGACTATTTATTATTATAATTGTTTTTATATTAAAATTAAGAAATATTATTATTAGAATTGATATTAGTTTTGCTCTTGTTAATAACGAAAATCCTTTACATTTGCCTTTAAATTTTCTTTCTTTCTATGTTTCTATATTTATAATTATATCTCCTATTTCTATTTTTACTTGGTTGTTATTGTATTTTTTCATGGATTTATCTATATATATTTCTGTACATTTTTATTTTTAAATATTTTCTTGATTTTATTTCAATTCTTATCTAATTTGATTTTATAATTTTATATCAAAAAATTTTTAATATAGAAATTTTTAAAATAACAAAGTCTGGAAATTTTTATTTCAAAAAAATTTAAAAATCTTTAAAGTAATAATAATTATATTAAAATAAATATTTATTTAATAAATATTTATTACTTTTATCAAATCTTGGAACTATATAAACTAAATTATCTATTGCTCTTATATTTACTAGATTATATACTGTATATCTGTTGATTTAAGATATGTACATTCATACATGTATAGTAATTTTTTCAATTTAAAATTATATTATTGTACTAATACTAATTAAAGCAGAGGCTTCTGAATTATTCTGCTTATCTTATTATTAATAAAACCTAAAAAAATTATATTGGTCTTAAAATAAAATGATATTTATATTTTAAATAATTATAATTACTTTTTTACAACAAATTTTATTATCTGAGTAATTATTTTTGAAAGCGACAAAAATGCTAGATGTGATTTTTTGGATCCAACTTTTAAACAATATAAATTTTAGGATCACAACAGAAAATTTCTGGTTCACCTTCGAAAATAATTACCCATCTGTCATATAGTTATATAATTATTCAAAGTTCATTTTAATCAATACATTACTAAACCATGAAATGTTATAATAATTATTAAATGCTCAGACAATTTCACTATTTTCTATTATAACTGTTCCAAATATTATCAGTATAAAATTATTTATTGAAATATTAAAAGAATTAGAATATAATTTTAAAACACTTTCAAGGATTTCAAATTTTCATTTATGATTTTCATTGTTTTTCAAAAGAATTTGAAGTATTTTATTTATCTTTTTTTTAATGTTAAGTGAGGCATTTCTCACAATCTTTATTAA